ACACACACACACACACACACACACACACACACACATGGTGGTGGTCCCGAACAGGCTTGGCGCAAGTGCCGTACTGCTTTGCAGCAGCATACGACGTCCTCATCTTCACCCTCACGCTGCTCGGCTTCCACAGGCAGGGCAAGCTGAACGTCTTCAGAAGGGGACCCACGGACAGCAAGATTGTGCACCGACTGCTCATCACCACCTTGATCTTCTTTTTCATCATCATCGGCTTCCATATTGGCGTCATCATCGGCTTCTGGACGTCCGCGACCCCATATGACACGGTGGTCATGGCACCTGTCCACACTGCAGTCAGGTGCGTGGCATGCCAAGTGTTAGCGTGGCCGCACATTGCGACTCTCTCGTACCCACCCACATGACCTCCTCATCCTCGCTTCTATTCCCGCAGCGTCGTCTTGTCCTGTCATTTATTCATGAATCTGCGCCAGCTCGCATCGGGAACCTCTCCAGCGCAAGGCTCCGGTAGCGGGCAGGGAATCGCTTCAAACGGCAGCGATCGACGACGCGGCAGCCATGCACCATACGCTGGTGTGGCCGACGATCCCGAGGTACATTTGGGCGCTACGTAAGCGCTGCATCGCTGGATTTGACCTCATCGACTCTTGCCTTTTTGCAGTCTGGACGAGGCGGCATTCGCCTCCAGACGACAGTGTCGCGACGATCCCAATTTGCTTCTCCATCTGTCTTGTCGGAGCCGACAAAAGCGTTCACGTGGGCCAATTCAACGCACTGGTCAGGACCCATCTCGCTCACTACGCAAATCACACCTTCCAGCTTGAGCTCGAACCGTCCATTCGCCGAATCATCAATTGAAGCGCATGGCTGGACGAAAGAACCGCGACGATAAAGCCAAGTGTTGCGGCATCATTTCGCCACTTTTTGCTACAATGCAATAGCATTCATACCCGCAGTACCTGGCATATGTGATGGGCTTAATTCCTGGTCTCGGCAGGCCCATGCGTGCTGAGACGTGACAGCTTCGTCTCTTTCCGACCCTTATCCTCCGGGATTCAGCCTGGATCCAACGATGCGTCTCGGAGCAAAGTATGCCTCTACAGCGCAAAGTTGCGACAGGTCATCAATCCCGGGATGCCACACAGACCCGTCACCAACATCGTCTTGCTTTGCCTGTCCCAAACAGCAGTGGTAGAAGTCTTTAGACCTTGCGATGCTCCATCGCTTCGCTTGACCGTCACTGCGCCTTGGTACAACGTGCGTACCCCAAAGCCATTCTGATTCTTCTGAACGCCTCGCTTGGACACGGGAAGCGGCGCACCGCCGTCCACGTCTGCCTCGCGATCGGCATCCGTATTCGAGCCAAGGTAGGAGACTCGGACGGCCCAGGAGCCCGCTTTGTTGACTGCATCATTGCGCGGATCTTTTGCTGCGTTGATCAGTGCCAAGCCGCTTGGATGACCAGCAGCCGTGATGACACTGTTGTCCATCTTGACTGGCGAAGTGGCGTCTGAGGGCACGGAGCTGCTTTGTGCAGGTGACCACATGATGTTGTCGACGGTCATGGGCAGATACACTCTCGCTTTCTCCTTCAGCAGCTTGCGGTCGTACCACTCTGCGCCGCGCTTGGCGTCGAACAACAGCACGGCTGGAGACTGACCCAAAGCCACGGCCAGAGTGGAGCCTCGGGGCGATAGTGCGATACCGTTGGAGTAGATGATGTCGCGAATGACGATGCGCGCTCCCACCGAGTCGGTCGGCGAGGCAGAAGAGTCTGTGAAGTTGACATGGCTGACCTATCGACAAAGAAATGGACCACCCGCACATAAGCGTTGCACGACCGAACGAACAGGCACAGTGCAAATACTCGCCCAAGTCAGTGCAGGCGCGAGGACAGTCTCCAGCATGGGCAACGTGTTGGTCGCAATCGCAGTACGGAAAGTGGCTGCCGCTGCGGCAGCGATGATCCCTTTGCTGGCAGGATAGAGCATCTCGATGGTGCTTTGCAGTTGATCTTGCGGTGGTGCGTGGTAGGCGAAAAAGTGATCTTGCGTCACAAGGAATTCCTGAGCGGAGAGCGCGACGATCGAGTTGGGCGTGTGTGTTGCCAGCGGATGTGAGATGCTTCGCACATGCTTGGCGCGCCAGCCGGATGACTGCAAAGAGACATCGAAAACTTCGATCAATGAGCGAGCACCCGCCGCATTGACTACAAATGTACGGAAGCGGTTGGGTGCAAGACGCTGGGACAGAGCAGAATGTAAAGGAGAGGACACTGTTGCTCTCGGCCCGCAACCGTATACGTTGGCGAGCCGTGCTTGGCGTGTTCAACTCACAAGAGTAGAGCTGCCCAAAGGTTTGAAGTCGCCAGAGTCGGGGAAAGCGTCAAAGGGCATGATCTGCGCGCTTCCAGCGCCCTGTCCGGAAGAGTAGTCGATGAGCCACATGGCGCCTCTGGGCGTCGAGCTGCAACGCGCAATGTATATCAGCTCCGCGCTCGAGTAGCAAGGGTAGCGCAATCACAATGCCAGCCTGTTGCCTCGCGTCGACTCACTTTGCGAGCGGGCCAAGTAGAGTGTTCCATTGGTCGCGATTCTGATCGCACGTCACCAGCGCCCAGCCTTGTAGCTCATCAGACAGCAACTCGACATTTTCGCAGAATTCGAGACGCTGCTGCGCGGGATCTCTCTGACCAGATCGGTGGTAGGGATCCGGGGCTGAGGCCGAGAGGTCAGCGCAGCTAGTGGAGGAGTTGTTGGGCACCCAAAAGGGCGGCAATGTCGGCGTCGATGTTTGAAAGGCGATCCACGCCGGCGAGAGCGAAGGCGGGATTCCGCCGAGAGAGCGCAAGCAATCCTCGTTTGCATCAGTCAAGAAACAAGGCAGCTGAGCGTGCGCAAGCGTCAGCGCAGAGAGGCTTGCGCACGCATAGAGGATGTGAAGGTGGGCCTGCAGATGCATCGTTGACGAGGACTGTCGCGACAGCGTAGGGTGCTGATGCGATGCGATGCGATGCGATGACTCACTCTTCTGATGTTCAAGCGATCATCAGCTCAGAAGGTAAAAAGTATCCACATGGGTTCCGCCTCGCGCTTCTTCTTATACGTGCTCGAGCGCGACAGGCGGCCTCGCACTACTCAGAAAATACCCCGCAACTTTCGCATCGCATCACCCCTGGCCATGCAGGCCGCCTACTCCGCTACTTGATTTCATGGCTCGCAGATGATCTTGGTTGCGCTGGCAACTGATCCAGCACCCGACAATGGTGTCGCAAAGCAGAGCAGCCGTCGCAGTCTGAGTGCGGGGTGATGAGCCAACCTGCAGCTTCTGCAAGATCTGCCTCGTCTACCCGCTCTTGCCGCTCTTTTCCGCCGGCACCGCGACTTGTGCTCCGCATCACATCGCCTTACTCGCTTGCGTCTCGGCTGCGCGAACGTCGCACGTGACCCGCATTCCATGCCGCATTGATTGCTGCGGTGTCAAGAGGGACTGTCAGGCCCTGCATGCAGCCCTTGACAGTGCGTTCATGGCCAGAAGGGCTGCAACAGACGCCGGCATTGGGTTACCAGAGGATGACAGTTCCAAAGTCTCTGTTTGCCAATAACCCAGATGCCAAGGCTGCAGTCCAAGCAGGCAAGCCCACCCATTTGCAAGCGGTTCAAGGTAGGTGTCTCTTGGGATTTTCCAGAAATGCCACCTCAGACTGCTGCATAATTGGCAATATCTCTCTCCAGTTTGGCATGGTGGCCAAGGGCCAGAAGGCAGCATCTGGAGAGCTTGAGTCAGGAAGGGGTTGCTGCCTGCTGAGGCTCTTGGTAGGCTGCGCAGATGCTCTTGTCTGCAGGCCAGCGGAGGGGGGGAGGGGTGACTTGGAGGCTTCTGGAGATTGTGTGCACTCTGCTCAGCTGCCTGCCTTTCCTCATGGAAGTGCCGTCTTCCAGGGGATGAGCAAGGTGTTTGGCAGCAAACCTACTCTCAACCTCAAGTTGACAGGCCAGAGGCAAAAGGGAGCCTTTCTTTGCCTAGGAAACCCCTTCTGCTGGGTATATGGACTACCCACTGGGAGAGTGGGTGATGGGGCTCAAGTCAAAGCAATGGTGGCTGCACCAGACAAGAGCTCTGAAAAGGCACAAGTCTGGCTTAGGGATGTGAACCCTCCAGAGGGCTGCTGGCAAAGTGCAGAGTGGATCATGCTCCGCACTCTGGCTCCTCAATTCATTTGCAAGGTCAACAAATGGCTGAACTGTTTGGCATAGGTGTGACCTCTGTGCTCAAGGTGAGTCATTGTGCTTCTGCAGACTGTTAAGGATCACATTTGCACAGGGGACTAGGAGCAAGATATGACCACCTTGTTGCGCGCATCGCGCGCAGAGACTCACCTTGAGGCAGTGTCCGCATCATCTTGCCCTTCCTCCTGGCCTCTTGATGCCTGAAATGTTCTTGTACGCCATGTGTTTGCCGGCGCGCCCCCCGTCAGTGCGCTCCCCGTCAGTGCGCCCCCTGTCAGTGCGCTCCTCCCTGTCTACCTGCACTGCAGGCAGTCGAGAGCAGAGTTTGGCCATCTTTTGCAGGTCGCGCTTGTGGGCGGACCAGTGATCGTACAGAGTGTGGCCAATATGCTGCACAAACACTTCATCTTTGTTGTCTTTGAGGCTGATGCTGTGACAAATGGCGTGAGCATTGGCATCAATACCCCCAAATGAGACAAATCTGCGTGTATGCGTTGGTTGTCTGTGGCGCCGCATCCACCTTGCGCCTCTTTCCCTGTTGCAAGTTCTTATGCTGACCCTTGTTTTTCACACCAGGCAGAGACGGCAGCAAGGGAATGTGGTGATTGGGGTGCTCGCTCGTGCCCTCGCGCGTGCTTGTGCCCTCCCGCCCTGGCGGCAACTTTGTGATGCGAATCGTGAGCGTCTCTTTGACGGCCGTGTCGACAGCTAGACGTGTGATGCGTCGTTGTTTAGATGAAGTGGGCGCATTGATGGTGTTCATGGTGGCAGGTTGTCGTCGCAAACATGGTGGAGGAGAGTCACGAGTGTGCGTGATGGCAGGGCGCAGATAGAATCACGATGCGCGGGCGGGTTGTCGTCGCAAACATGGTGGAGGAGAGTCACGAGTGTGCGTGATGGCAGGGCGCAGATAGAATCACGATGCGCGGGCGTGCGCGCCCGCGCATTGTGAATTGCGCACGCGCCGGGGCCACCAAGACCGTTGCTTGATACAATCACCAAGGCATGGTGACTGACCGTGCTCTCCAGACCCACGCATCACTTCTGGCCCCTCTTGCACCCTACACCTTACAAGGAAAGAACTGCCCAGTTGTGAGTACCAGGCGGTCTGAGGGCGCACGCACAAGCATTCACACACGCACGCGCGCAAGCATCCGCACAAACATTTGCGCAAATCTTTACGCCGCATTCACACACGTAAGAACTTGTACGCTCTCACGCTCGCACGCACGCACGCACGCACGCTCACACCCGCACGCACGGATTGACGCAGGCAGTCTATCCATGATTTGGGAAACCAAGGAAGGGGGTGATTTACATCAAACATGGCAGGCAGCTCGGAATCCTTTCAAAGCGTCTTGAGGGCCTTGGACTGCTTGAAACCGCGACTAAGTGCTGGAGGCTTCATGTACATAGCACACCCAAAGGTGTGCGCCGACTTTGTGACTTTTTTGTATTCCGAGTATCGCCCAGGGACCGTTGTTCCGTGCGGCACGCCACCCCTCCAAATCATAAAGACACCGGGTCCATTCCTCATCACCAGTCCGTACGGAGCGATTGCAAAGTTGTGGGCACCAGCAGGGAGCTTTGCCCAATCTTCATCCATCGTGAGATCAATTCTGACCGTAAATTTGGGATCTTGAGGGTCTTGCAGCGTGAAATGCGCGCGTCAGTTACGCGACATGCGCACGCGTCCCGCACGCCCAACTCACCGTGTGATGGCCTGAAATGTAGCCAGCGCAGGCCGCTCCCTGCACCGCATACCCTCTGAACCCGTACGGAGGCAGGCCAGCATCCCTCGTACTCTCCACGTGCTCTTTATGAAGACCCGGCATGACCCCTGCCAAGAGTCCTGCCGTGTAATCCAGCAATGCGTCTTCCCTCACAACTTGCTCGTCCTGATCCCCCACCAACTGTCGACGCACGCACCGCGTCAACGCACGTGAACACTTGCCCTCACGCTTGCGCACCCGCTCACCATCTTTTTCCTCCAATTCCTGTACAGCCCCACATTGCCCGCCTTTCCTTGCGGTAGCCGATGCCGACCGCACTCCCATGAAAGACCCTTGTGCTGTGACGCTCAAACTCCTTGCGGGATTGAATGAAAGACGCCACAACATGCCTGCAAATCTTGCTTGCAAAGGCTGCATCTTGCGAGCCAAGGGTCTCCATTTGGATTGCGAGCAAGAGTCCATTGCGGTGCAAAAGCTGCCACCCAATTTTCTCCGGCTCACGGATCCAATAACCTTCCTCCAAAGGGACACCTTGCAGAGCGGGATGACTTGCCGCCTTTGCTTGGTCTAGTACGAGTACTAGCTGGGGAGTTGCCTGAACCCGCAACAAGGCAGAGCTCCCCAAATCCCTTCCCTCCATTGGCTTTACCCCCCGGGCCACCATTTCCCAAATCTCCATTTCCTGGGCCTCATCCCTGCCCCTCAAACCCTGCTCCACCTTTACTCCGCGCTGCGGAAGCTCAAAAGAGCTTGCGCGCCACTGCTGATCCCCTCCTGTCCGCGCAAGGACTTGGCCGTCTGAGCCCACTCCTACACATACCCTCCCTGAATGTACCTCGTCGGCATTCATGACAAGATTTTTTGTGTTGACCAAGATGATCCGCACAAGCATCTTGCATTCCGCAGCCACACTGAGGCCTTTTGCAAAGGTATTTACCATTCGCAAGGTTTTGAGCCGATGCCCCTCTACCTTTTTTGTAATCTCGGCGCGCCATTCTTCCCCCTAGATTTGACTCCAGCCAAGCCAAGCAAGCTTGACCTGTGTGCTGGTGATCCCGCGAGTCTCATGCATGCGTTCCCACAGCAATCTTCTGGCAAGCACCTCCTTGGCTGTGCTTTCATGCACCAGCGCCCACTGCATGGCTGGTGGCAGGCTACTGGCGCCGTTGATCAACTCACCAAGCATGGCAAAAGCCATTTCAAAAGCTTGATAGGCCAGGTGACCCTGCCAGGCTGGTACTTCCTCCTCTGACCAAGCCCGCCTCTCAAAAGTCTCCCAATGGTCTCCTACGCCGGCGCACTGTCGATGCCGCAATGAATCAGCTACGTGCATTGCGTGCGTGCGTGCGCATGTGAGCATGCTCACCTTTGTTCTAGCCAGGCTTTGTATGCAACCGTTGCCTCTGCCCATTCTTTCTCTGTCCTTCCTAAAATGAGATCCCTCCCAGTGACCCCCATCCACTGCATCCCCTTAGCTTTGATGACACCACTTGATCTTGCTTGGTCCAGCCACTGCCAAAGATCAGCATGGCTCCTCCACTCCAGGTGTTTTCTTCCCCTCTTTCCAGTGCTCCCTGCTTCAATACCTGCCTGAACCATGCTTGACATTGGGTAGAAATTGCTGCCAAACTCTTGCTTGAGCTGCTTGCAGTCGACGCGCAAGAGGTGAAATGTCACTGGGGGCGTGCTGCGCTGTCAGTCACAATAACAATATGTGTGTGCCCGCATGACGTCACTTACTTTCTGTGTTGGCGTCCATGATGGACCTCGCGGGTTCTCGGTTGTTGCTGGGTGTTTGAGCGCGGTTTGTGATCGCGTGAGTGGGGGCGAGCGCGGGCGGGCTGGTGATGTCGAGAGTGTGTGTGTAGGTTGGTCGATGCTGTGCGCGGTAGAGAGAGCAAGATCAGCATACGCGCAGAATCAGCTCACTCACCTCAAGGCATTGTCCTCGTCATCTTGCCCTTCCTCCTTGCCTCTTGACGTCTGAAATGCTCCTTTACATGCTCCAACAACAGCACTCCCTGGTAGAACGGACTGGTCCATTGCAGCTCTTTGGTCCCCGCCTGTGCTGAGCACTGCTCAGGGTCCTCGGTGTTGTCTTGATGTGCTCCTCCTTGCCTGCTGTTGCCCGCAATCTATAGGACAGTGATGAGCATTGCATACTACTTGTTGGGTGGGGCTACTCACCTGTTGCGTATCGTCCGTCAGATTCTTTTCTTCTGGCACTTGAGTAGTACTAATGCATCCAAGGCACGCGTGTGTCAAGGCCCAGCAAACGCTTGCTCCTCTGGCAAGCAAGCAATCACTCACGCATCGCAATGCTGGACAGCAGCCTGTACGGCAATGATGCAGTGCGCAGAGCTCATGTTGGAATGTTTTGGGGTGGGGTGACAGTAGCATTGACCCCTAGAGCAAGTGCCGTTATTTTGTTGATGGATATATAGCAGCACTGTGGTGATGTGTGTTTCCGTGGATGCCGTGCACCAGCAGCAGACAGCCCTGCCTTCCTCATTTTGCTGGGCAACACTCTACCATCACAGTGCGCAGAAGGCGCAAAGGACGCAAAGGGTGCGAAGGGTGGAA